AATTGAGAGTCGATTCTGGGTTTGGGTTTACAATCAATACCATCGACTCATTCCTGATAATAGGGTTCATGTTTTTGTAACCAATTAAATATTCATTAAATAAATAAATTTATTCAAAATACTTTATTTAGCAAAATTGCAAGTAATAATGTGTAAAGTGTATTCAGGGAACGTGACCATAAAGCTTACATTAAGCACATTCTCTATTTGCAAAAATTTACATAGTAATTGAATTATTGTAATTGATATACTATATTTAAATCTAGGTAACAAATCTCAAGGTTCAAGCAGGACTATCAAGGAATCGATGATATGCTCTAGGAAATATAAAAAAATATGGCCATTTAATGATCCTCAAGGTAATTTATGATCAATTTTCACAAGATCATAATTTATTTTAGGGTCAAAATAAATATTCTTAAGGAATAGGGATTTTGTATTTGGGAACCCTAGTAACGGTAGATGTGGTAAGTTATGTTACTTTGGTTTGACTCGTAAAAATATTGATAATATTATATTAATCCACCATATTAAAGGTTAAATCAAATATATTGTTAATCAAATCATGTTTCTAATGGTTTCCACTTGTGATGATTACTAAACGTTATTGTCAGTTATTATATACTATCACAATTATATAATTTTTATACAAATATTTTATTTGTAATTTTAGAGGTAATCATCAAAATATTTAAGTAACTAGTTTAATATTATATGTGATACCTAATATTTTATTAATTCACGAGGATATTATTTTAAAATTTTATTATAAACTGAATACAACATACAGTATGTAATGATAATTATACAATATATACTATATATTATCATTGTTTCCGTGGAAATTAATATAAGGTTTTATCACCTATTTTCTATGATAACATCAAGCATATGGCAATATCATTTACCGACATTTTTGTGTTAATAGCACTTTAACTTGTATTATCATTAATATTGTATGGTATTATTTTATTGTAAATAATTAATATAGTTTGTGTGAAAATGAGTGCTATTTTAGAAAACTTTAGCATTTGTGATACGATTGACACGAGTATTAAAAATAAAATAAAATTATTTCACGTGTTTGATGACTGCCACCATGGGCAAAACATATTATACGTGACTAACAATGACTTAGTGTATGGTTTAGGAAATAATGGTCGGGGTTGTCTGGGCTTAGGCTACGGAGTGTCATATAAGACACCGCAAGTTATACCACAATTATGTGATAAAAATATTCAGGAGTTTATCAATGGCTGGGACTTTGTGCTGGCTATCAATCACATGAATCATGTGTTCAGTTGGGGTCACAATGATCGGGGACAGTGTGCTAGAGATGTGATACGACTGAAGTCCGAGATGCGTATACAAGATGTGTATTTAAAACCGCAGAATATATCCGATTTGAATGATAATAATATAACGCATGTATGTTGTGGTTATCAGCACTCCCTGGCCCTCACCACCGATGGACAGGTGTACGGGTGGGGCAATAATTATAGGGGACAAATTGGAAGTAATAGCACCAGTTCAGAAATATGCCGGCCAGTTTTGCTAAAATTTGAAAGTAATTATAAAATTAATAGCATTTACTGTTTTCACCATACTTCATTTGCCATCACCATAAATGGTATGGTATTCAGCTGGGGTGACAATAGTAATTACGCGACCGGACATGACAACGCAAATGATATATTACGACCTAAATTAATCCCTTATTTAAGTGATGTCAACTGTGTCAATTCTAACAATTGTTATACATTTTTTGGGACGAATAGTAATTTAATATATTTTTGTGGTATATACGATACATACAAGTTACTATTTTTTTTCACCCGTTATAAATACTTTAAAAGCCCGGTAAAACTGCCATTGAAGCTTAATATTCAAGAATATAGTGATTTAAAGTCACATAATAAGCGACCATTTACTATAAAGGCTGATGATATTATTTGTGAATATCGCTCATCACGAGATTTGAAAACTTCTAGTTATAAAAGTTTTATTGACTTTTATGCCAATAAATACCAACTAACCTATAATACATTAAATATGAATTTAATTCCATTAGATGAACTAAATAATGTTAAAGGTTAGTCTATCTAGAACATTGAGTTCCGTGGGTTACAAATAGTTAAATTTAAAAATACTTATAACAGTAACTACTCATGCTACTCACAATTGGGACTTAATGATCTAGAATCATTCAATAAGTAAACTATATTATAATTTTACCCAAATTTAGGAGACGATAGTTTTGAAAATCATTACAAAAAAACGTTTGCCGAGTTGTCGGCTATAGGGTCGGGTGGTTTTGGAACAGTATTTAAAGTAAAGCATAGATTCGATGAACAGATTTATGCCGTCAAAAGAGTCGAGTTTCAAAGTAAATTTGTTTTCAACAAAAATAATTATTTTTAACGAAAATTTATTTCAGACCTTTCTCATGAACACTTACAAAAAGTTTATAATGAAATAAAAAATATAGTAAAAGTTCGTTCCGAATATGTGGTCCAGTATTACAACTCTTGGTCCGAAAGCAAACACCTCTACATTCAGATGGAGTTCTGTTCACAGAATTTAAGAAATATTCTTGAAGTGAAACCACAAATATTTGGGAGAAAGACAGGAGAAGCCATGAATTGTGTCGAGTATTTCATTTCGTGTGAAATATTGCGACAAATCTTAGAAAGTGTTCAGTATTTGCATGAGTAGTTACTGTTATAAGTATTTTTAAATTTAACTATTTGTAACCCACGGAACTCAATGTTCTAGATAGACTAACCTTTAACATTATTTAGTTCAACAGATCATTCACAGAGACCTCAAACCCGAAAACATATTGATTGCCAAAAATGTAAGGAACGGTAGATTTATTAAGTTATGTGACTTTGGGTTGGCTGTTGAGCACCAGAAGGTATCTCAGAATCACACCAGAAATGTGGGAACTTTTGTATATATGGCCCCAGAATTGGGTCAATCAAAGTATACCATAAAAGTGGATATTTTTAGTTTGGGTATACTTTCGATGGAATTGTTTGATATTATATTAGAGTAAGTATTGAATAGTATAATAATTGTATTTATAATTTAATATTTAATACATAAATAATTTATTTCAGTGGAAGTGAACTGGTTAAATATACAAACACATCACTACACGAAAGCATTAATAATATACTAGGTGTTTTTAATTTAATGATTAACTACGGATCGTACCTCAGGCCAGAGTGTAATGATATATTAAATAAATTTGATACATGGTCACTTAACAAGGACATTACTGACTCAAATTTTAGTGCATTTACTGAATTTATAAATCAACACAATTCCGATGATTATTTGCTTTTTAAAGATATTATTACAAATAAATTAAAAATGGACAAAATAAGCAATGTAAATCCAGTATCGCCAGAATAAACAAAATTGGGATATAAAATATAAACCTTGGAACAAATACTAATAATCTAATATCAATGGCAATTGAGCAAGAATATATAATTATATATATTTCGTGTGAAATATTGCGACAAATCTTAGAAAGTGTTCAGTATTTGCATGAATTGAATCCACAGATCATTCACAGNTTGCATGAATTGAATCCACAGATCATTCACAGAGACCTCAAACCCGAAAACACATTAATCGCAGAAAATGTAAGGAACGGCAGATGTGTTAAGTTATGCGACTTTGGTTTGGCTATAGTTCACGACTCAAACAGAAATAATACGACTTATAATACTAGTAAGCACTCAACTGGTGTGGGAACAATAAAGTACCAAACACCAGAATAGCTCGGGGTACCATATATTGCCATAAGGTTGACATTTATAGTCTGTCAATAATTGGCGCCGAATTATTTGAATTGGATTTGTTTTTTATGGACCCTGATAAGTACGAGTTTATATATTGGTTTATTCATTGTTTGCCAATTAATTAGATTTTATTTCTATATTTAGTTCCGAAAGCCTTTATTCCGTGAATGAAATCTTAAACACAAAAGTACTTTCACTACAAAACACATTGCATTCAATGATAAGCCATATCTGGAAACGACGGCCCGACTGTTCACATGTTTTGAATAAATTTAACGATTGGAGTATTGATAAGAATATTCTGAATGAACCCCGGTATGAACCGATAATAATTCGAATAAGTCAGCATGATCAATTCTTCATAAACATTATAAAGTAAATTTTAATTTAAAAATAAATTCAAAATGTTAAAATTATAAAAGATGATCACTAAAATTAATTTTAATAATGTATGATACTGTATGTACCTGCTACTTTAAAGTTAATTTATCATCATTTTTATTTAAATTTCATTAGCTTATTTTGCATTTTTAAAAATAAATTATTGGTTTACATACTGTAACACATTATATACGATCATTTTCCCTGTGTTTTAATATTTGTACGTTATTTCTAATTTATTTATTAAATTATTTTATTTTTATTAAAATACTTACAATGTTAACGCAAGTGTTAACGCTAATTGCAATTAAAACCGAGTGAATTATACTCGTATGGTATGGTATAATAGGACTACCCAGGTCCGGTAATCTAGCGGAATGTCCTTGGTGTCCAAATCGGTGATTATATCGGTCGACGCGCTATAAAAACTCTATACATTTTGCTGTGAAAACTCTGACTCGTATAGAATGAGTAGTTTAATGGGCTTTTATAGCAAAAATGTATAGCGCGTCGACCGATATAATCACC